AAATTAATAAATAATTTATCTTGAGTTCACTTACAAAAATCTTTCTTACATACTTGATTAACATATTGCTGAAATCTGTATAATGATCACTGCTACCTCACTACATGTCCAGAAACTGATAACATTGATTTGATAACAGAGAAATAACATTGATTTGAAACCTAATTTCAGAGCTCTCCCCTCCGCATTCAACTGCGATTTCTGCTACATCTTCCATTGATGCTTCGCTACCTCAATCCAAAGACCTTTCTGATGCAAACTCCACTTCTTCAAGAGCTCCATCACCATCTAGCACTGAATCCACCTCTGACGGACCACCGACAACAAAACGACGCCGTTTAACTTCATCAACCTCTCCAACTGTACAAGAGTCGCACAGTTCTGTAGCATCCACAGCGGCAACACCTCTTTCCCTATCGACTTTACCATCATCGACACGAGTCACGCCAGTGGTTTCACCGCAGATAAGGCCACCACCAGGTTTTAATTTTATGGCACAGCACTTGTTGGCATTACAGTATCAGCAAAATCTGAAGATGGCTGCCATTGCACCCGGCATCCTGCCAGGTGTGCCTGCAATTCACCCATTTGCTTCCATGACAAGTATTCCATGGAGAACCATGTAGTAGAAGCGAGAACTGCAAAAGATGAGATTCCAACAACGCTGAGGGTGGTGAGATTCACTTTGTAGAGCACAAAGAAAATGACTAACGTAAAATGTAAAATAAGAGGCGCTAAGTGCGACTTGGTCAATATAAGTCTGGTAATATATCATTACAAAAATACAAGTTAAAAAGAGGCCAAGTAAATCAGTGGATAGTTTTTACATGTGTATTTGTAAAATTTAGATTAATTTATCACGGTGTATTTTGTGTGCCTTTGCTTTGAGTTCTAATGAATCTCTTTGTATAGATTGATCATTTGAGCCATATATTCAGTTGTGCATTTGTAATAATCTCGTCTGTAAAGAAGAATTCTTAAAAACAATAAAACTTTATTATTCATTATACAAACGCTATTCTGTGAGGAATACATTTACGCAAATCTACGACCACTGCTAATATAATTTACAAAATAC